GGTCTGACCTGACTGTGCTGGCGGGCTACTAATTAATAATTATTTGTGGGCTGAACCGCCAAAGGTCACCCATTTGCGCGTGTGAAAGGCGCTGACAGCTATTTCCTATTCAGTGATGTGCTAAAGATAAACTGTACCTAATGAGTACAAGTGGAGTTGGTTACCGTTTCCCGAGCGCTGTTCGTTATGTAGCTTCCCACTAAAGAGTGTGTTTTTGAAACGGAGCGAAAGTCGTTTTTATTAATTTTGTACTCTACTGATTCGAAAAAACGCTGCACGTAAGCTGTCATTCATGAAAATTCACACAAATGTCTACGAGAAGTATATTTTGAAAACAATATGCATAACTGCATCATTCTTAGTCGCATTTCGTAAGCTATCGGTATATGAGATATTGGTAATAAGAGATTGGTATATGAGAGAAGAAAACCACTTGCGATGTGTTGTTAAATAGACGGCTTTGCAGGGTGATGTCTCCAATATCAACCATATTCAAGGCTGGTTTTTCAAAACAGCGACATGATAAATGCCCTCACATTACAGTCCATACAGTCACAAAATATATCTGCCCTATCTGACTCTATATTTTAATTTTTATTAGCGAAAGGCTGGTCGAATGAATGGGGACTCATACATTTGGCAGTTCCTGTTTCGATCATATGCTGTAGAGATAGGGTGACATAATGACTAAACTCTGTGCGACTCGAATCCTATTCCTAGTGATTGACTATTATAGTGAGCACAATTTCAGATAGCAGTGAAGTTTGACTTAAACAGACACCAATCGACTCTGAATTCGGGCTTTGTTCTGTATGTTGAGACTTACGCTGATTGGTTTCATTCCAACTGTGGCTGCAGTGATCTAGTTATTGGTTAATAAGTTGCAATTATTCACGCTGTAATCAAAGATAATTGAATCAAGCTGTTGTTTGTCTGGTTACCAGTAATTGGTCAGTCGATATTGAGAAAGTGAACAAGTGATCTTGAATAAAATGCCAATTTAAATGATCACATTATAGACGGAAACACGTGAGCCAAAGATGCATGTTCATTGTTCATTGTTCACTTATCAGGTCGCCAGGTAATGGTTGAAGAACAGGCGAACAGTAAAAAGGACGTAAATAATTTTAAGAGAATAGTGTTCAAGTCTGCTCTCTTCCTCAGGCCAAGGGCGCTCTATTCCCCGTCTCGGTTCCCAGAGCCAAAGTTCTGTCCTTTGACAAAGCATCCCTTGTCAGCATGCTTTAAGCGGCCTTTTCCATTTCCCCTGTCCGAGCTGTTTCCCGCTCATTAAAGATGTTTTACTCTAGCCCCGAACTGAGAGTCATTCATCTTCTCAAAGAAATGTTCCTCTCAGGCTTGGCAGAGCTGACTTCCTTACATTGAGGCAGTTATTTTCGTACATGTACTTAATGAAAGAGGCGGGATTTAGGATAGAATGGCGCGCAACTCATGGAACAGCAGCCGAGTTCACAGCCCACATAAACTTTATTTGATTCGCGGTACCTGAGATTTATCTGAAGTATGACCGTTTCATGAAGTATTCGCTTCTAAATCATCAAAATTGACCGAAGCTTTTATACAGTTTGCTGTCATGTTCAGTTAAGTAAAAAAGGTTGTATTGCCTTTTACACTAAATCAAGTTCAATCTCAGATGCCTGCGAGTGGCTGCACGTTTATTCTTTTTGCATGTGCATCATGCCATTGCAAACAAAGTTCATGAAAGTTCAACAGCCAAACAACGAACCCAGATCCGTACCTATCTTACAGTGTGATGAGACACACACGACCCCAGCCATTCGACACTCACCGTCCCCTGGTACCAAAAATCTGAAATCTGCCATGGGGCCCGAAGTCATGCCTCTACCCTCCCAAAGCCACCCGTATCCCCAGCACACTGACCGCTGCTGGTCCTCGGTGAGCAGTTTGAAGTAGACCAAACTGACGGCCGCGTAGGCCAGACAGAACAGCGCCAGCTCGCGGTAGATGAGCTTGTAGAGCGAGCCGCGCCACTTGAGGAGGAGACGCGTGAACCCGCCGCTGGTGGAGGACGCCACCTCGTTCTGGTAGGACACGGTCATGGTGGAGAGGTGGGCGGACCGCTGAGGTCACTGCTGAGGTCACCGCAGGTCACCGCTGAGGTCACCACAGGTCACCAGTCGTAGGACGGCTATGTCACCGGAGCGGCCGCCGATGGGACCTCCGAAATGGTTTCCAATAGGGTCACGAAATCCGTTACCGAAGGGTTACTGATACGGTAATCAATGCCGTCATCGATTCTTATTCGAGAAGGCCTTGCTGATTTTCGACGATCTCAGCATTGCGATGGCTGTTTACGTCTTATTGCCAAAGTTTGTGGCGATAACGTCTAATTAACAAACTCTTTAGCGTCAAACTTTGCCAGACGGTGGCACTGCAGTCATTCTCCTGGCGACTTCAGTAATGGATGGCTACTCCGGTCGTCCTGTCACAATTCGTCACTCTGTCGCCCGTACTTGTCACTCTGTCACCATGCGGCACGCTAAATGTCGAAAAGTAGACACTTCTCACGTCAGCATCTGCATCACGCTTAGCTCAACATCACGACACTAGAACCACCAATCCGCTACGGACTTTCAGGTCGCTGCCAGCCACTCCTCTCCTCACACTTTCTCCACCGACGCGTCGGATAGCAGTGTCCGTTCTGGCCCACGCGTCCGCCCGTCACGGCCGACGCGTCGTCGGTCACTACCGCCGAACACCGTCGCCACCGCCGCGTCGGAACCGACGCGTCGTTACCGTCGCGTCGGAGCGTCCGCGCGTCGCGGTACCGCCGGCGGGGCAAGGAAGCAACTATCGGACGCCAATTGACGGGGCGGCGACTGGGCGGCAGTTGGCTGCCGCTGCCCCACACCGCAGCTCGGCGGATAAAATTAACCCGCCGTCGGCAGAGAGGCCGACGCGGCTGGCGTCGCCCCGGCTCGAGAGGAATGGAGTACGATGACCGCAGGGAGGTCAGATGCGGACAGAAACACCCGCACGGCTGCTGGGTGTCCGACAGAAGGCCGGGGGAGGCAGACGGTAGGCAGAGGTTCAGAAGATGTGCAGGAAACTGTCGCCACGCGATAGTTTACTGAGAGAATCGCCCTCATCTCGCTGTTTGGAAAACATTAGGACCAATGATGGCTACAAACGGCATCTTGGCCTGTCGAACGAAACAAATCCAATGCTCAAACTTCGACCCAATTCCGACTGGACCTGTAGCAGACCCTGTAAGCCTATTGAATGATGTCAGATCTGAGAGTGAGATCTCTGGAACAAATTGCATTCCTTGTATGGGCCTTTGCAAATTGCAATGCATAGAGGAGCCTTAATATGGACCGTTCCACTTCTGAGTCAACTACCAAATGCAAAAACATGCTTTGGTCTCATAACCCGTAAATTAAAGGGACCCTCCCACCTTAACATAAGTTTTGAGTTGAGATAGCCAAATTGGTGGCCATGGCCTGAAAATACCGGTTTGGGCATTCACAACATCGAAAAATGCTTTAATTCGGAGATATGGAATTTCAAACTTGCAGTTTTCGGATTCTAAGGGGCTAATGCATTGGTATGCCCCCTTAGAATTTGTGACGTCAGCGGAGATCTAACGATTTTTAAATCTTTTACTAAAACGTTTGGCAGCACGCGATGGTATATGCTGCTTTGCGCGCAACAAATGCCGCACTTTCAAATAAAGTCGCTAGGAACAGCGGAGATCCCAAAAAGTAAACAATAGTAAAAGTCTAATATCTTGAAAACCGGTGAATATTTTTCGATGAAATTTGGTAGATATTCATTTTTGCTCTTTCTGAACCGAGCGACATCACTTTCATGCCAATTCATTAACTTTTTTGAAGGTGGGAGGGTCCCTTTAAATGGAATCAATGTGTCCGTACACGTGAATCATATCATCTAAGCGGAAATGTTGTAACATATCTTATTCTATCGAACCGGAAAAAATTGATGCAAATATGTTGTGTAGATGTTGTCCATTAGAAATGCAGGGGTGTCCGGCTCGGACACCTCCCCTCCTCTCACACCAACAAGAATTAGCCGGAAGAATGCAATTACCGCTTACTGCAGATGAGAATTGAGACGGTAAGCGTAGGTAATTTGCAATTTGCATATACTGGTGACACTTTCATTGCGAATCTTATTCCGCTCCGTGCTCCGTTCTGCACAAAGAAAAAAATAACTGCCTACACGTCACCGTTTCCCTGTCCCAGTGTTCTCGCTGCCTCTGCTGGTGCAGCTACCCCGTATCGTCGACATATGTTGGCGCGGCCCGCGCCAGATACGCCGTATCGCCTACGAGCGTGTACACGGTGCACAAAATTCTAGTGCAATCCAAACAGCACGTGCTGACCGCAAATAGTCGTCGGCGGCGGCCGGTGAACAGAGGCATCACGAGAATACAGCTCATACTCGTGTGCGACTGCCAAGTGATGAGAGATGGTGGGGCGCGCGCGTTACGTGGTTTCTGGTGAACTAACGAAACAACTAAGTGTGCAACTGGAATATCACCTTAGCAAGAATCGCACATTTGTATCAGAATCGGATCCAGTGACCGTCGGATTGTGAATCGTTCTGCGGATAGGTGTGGCCTGGCTCCTCACCGAGCCATTACAGAAACTAGTCGGCATTGTTTTGATCTCTTGCACTTCTGCTGCTCGGCTAAGGCTGATATTCTAAGTATCGACCATGTGGCCTCCGTGCGATATTCCCAGTATTATATAGAAACTCATTTACATCATAGCTCAAGGCGCAGTTGAAAGCACCCACAGACCACAGTGACACGCGCCGACACCAGCCGTCCTTTGAAGCTCGCGCGGCGTTTACTCAGCCCGTGACGTCACTGCACGCCTGACCAGCCTCTCTGCCGGCGGGCACGCCTCGCCGCAGGAAGGGCGTTTGATCTGACACACCAATCTATGGCCGAACGCCAGTGGCTCTTTGTACCGTGTGTTCAAACAGCGCCGTTTGCTGAACTCGAGTGTATTTTCCACCGATGTTCCACTGTGACCCGACTCGGCAGCCATCTGGATATCACGCTACAATGAAAGACCGGCCAACCCGAGCTCACCGGCGCACCGGGGCAGACGGAGACTCGGGCGCCACACTGGAATTCTCTGAAGATTGGAGCCCTGCGCGAGGGAGTGCGGCGAGACGCTCGGCACTGCTCTTTCTACGCGAATCTCCCCTAAACCAGGCTACGTTGCTACCCAAATATGCAGTGACTACGACCAAACAACGTGCTACCCCGTATACAAGCGCTCACGTGACTACGGTCAGATCGGTAGGCAGGTCACACGTTAAAGACGAGATTCAGAACTCGCGTGTTCATTTGATCAGAACACTGTGTTTGCGAGCGAATCATGCAAATGGAAGACATTTGATTTGTTGTTGAGACGCGAAAGCGCCTGAGCACTCATGTCTCTATTTTGAGCACACATTAAGCTAATCGCGACCCATGGCGCACACAGACACACACTTACAGCATTAACCTGTCTCAAACGCACACACAAACGCCCAAGACGGTGAGATCATGTCTCGCCAACAGCCGACGCCGTTTCACCCGAACTCCGACAGGCTGCGCTCGTGTTGGCCCGTCAGATGTCGCGTCGATCGCGCACAATCACCAGGGCCTCCAGGAGTTGGGATCGGCAGCGGCCGCCGCCTTGCTGACGACCGGGCGGAACGCCGATGCCGACGCCGACTTGGAGAGGTTGATGGGCCCGTCGGACGGCCCGGCTGGCTCCTCCTGGTCACTACCGCTCGACGAGGAGCTCGTATCGGCAGCAGCGGCGGCAGCAGCGGCGGGAGGAGGGACGGGCGGCCGCGGCGGCGGAGCGGCGAGCGGTCCGACCAGGGGCGGAGCCAGCGGAGCAGGTACGGGAGGCAGCACGCGCAGCGGCGCCGCCAGCGGGGCCATCGTCGGCCCGGCCACCAGCCGGTCCAGGTGTGAGTTGAGACGGTGCAGGACGGCCGGGTCGGTCTCCTGGCTGGACTGCAGGTAATCATTGATGACGGCGCGCGCCGACATGTAGCCCTGGTGAAACATCTTCACCTCCGTGTAGGGGTCCGGGCGCCGGCTCGACCTGAGGAGAGACGAGCCAGTGAGAACGCGGTGAACATAGGAGATTGCTGGACAGATGACGGGCCAGCCAATGTAATTCGAGCTGGATCACGATAAGCAAATAGGAATCCCAATGGGTCACATCTGAATCGACCAACATTCGAAACAAGCTTCATGGTGTCAACTGTCAAGGGCATTTTGGTCTTTTCAGGACGTGGGCGCTCCTACGTCAGAGCCTCTGATGCAACGTCACGAAACAGTCTCGAGTGTCGTCAGTTCACTGTGATGTTATCTAAAATGACTGGGATGGTGACAGCGAAAATTGTGTCGCGAAATATGAAAAGCGGTGGAAATGAGGCGAAAACTACTGACGGCTGGAAGTGGGTTAGTTGTTTTCCCATACCTGCTACATTGCATGATTAAATCGAGACATCCAGGCATTTTAATGGCACGTGCACTGTACCACACTTTTCAAAGTTTAATGCAGTGCTTTAATATTGCCAGCCGTGTGGTTCAAGGGGTGTGGTTAAACGCGTTGAACCACACGGCTGCTGACGTCGCTATCAATTATAGTTGTGAGCTTTTTGGCAGGTATGGGAAACACCTTCCAGCCCTAAGGCCGGGAATTCAATAAATGTCACCTCGCTTTTTTAGCGAAAAGCACCTCGGGCCTAACGGCCCTCGGAGTTTTCGCTAAAAAACCTCGGTGACATTTATTGAATTATCCCGGCCCCGGGCAGGAATATATTGGTTTGCCTGTGCACGCATCTGATTCGACTGGTCTACTGGGATATTCATACGCAAGTGGGGAATTGGGAACCCTTAACGGCACAGATCGTGCCCTGCAAGGAAATGAGTTGACATATTTCGATTTCCGCTACTGACAATGAAATCTCGGCATTCATATCACTATTGCTCAAAATGTTGGGCATAACACGTGTGTACTTCGTTGAAGCCGATCCGTGGCGTATGTGAGCTCTATTCTCCGGGTGCACACGTTTTTCGGTCCATTTCATGACAAGGAGCACGCAACATGCCGGCTCATATTTTGGGATATTTTTCCAGGAACTTTCAGAGGCTTACACGGCGGAAAATCAAAGCCGAGTGTGACCAAATGACTGTAAATCAATCACGGTGTCGCCTGATCTGATGATCGATTCAGATATCTTTTGACAGGTGTGATGGCGAAAATCATACGGAGACACCAGTCAAAGTAATAGACAGCCAAGGGGACAAGTCGAGTTTCTTGATCAGAGTGTTTCCGCCGTTACCTCAGAAGCCAACAAAGGAAATCGCGGCATCTAGATGAATTTCGCATGAAAGCACGCGATATGAGCACGTATATCAAAATTACCGCTATAGTACACCAGCCCCGCACGAAAACTTAACAAAAATAACTACCAAAAAACAACACGTGGGTATAGCGCGTAACCCAGAAGCTTTCAAATCCACCGTAGCACGCCACATAATTTAGTCGTTGAACGTTTAACATTCAAACGATTCACCCGCCCGTTCTCACGAGTAAGCTATGCGGCACGGAAGGCGCGGTGGAAGCCATAGGGGTCATTATCACGTGGTTTCTGCCGGAGGTTTCGCCTCAAGAGGCACGCTGCAGTAGCTGACTTTACGGGCTGAATGATAATGTGCATTTACTGCACAAAACTGCAGGCTCTAATCGTGGTAATGAAACGTCGGCGGAATCCGCAGGGCATGTGCCGAGATTCGGACGATTCGAGCCGCAACTTTGGGGCAGCGGCAGGCCCAGGGGCCGGTGCAATATTTATGGTACACCTTCGGGGACATGGCGATTTACGGCAAGCAAGCAGAGCGAAAATATGGGTGGTCAGGAGCCGGTGTGTTGCAGCGAAAAACGCCAGAATCGCTGCAAATAACGACCCAGAAGAGAGGCGCGCGGAGCACCCCGCGCGCTACCAGCACCTCTCGCCAGCAAGGGCGCCTGAAGGCTCTAAAGACGGCCCCCGGTCCGCGCTCGGGTGTCTGGCGCCGCACGATCCCATGCAGGTGAGCGCTGCTGTCATGTCGGCAAGGACATTTCAGCAGTCTGCAGACGCTCCCGCGCCGTCAGCCACCGTTCCCAGGGATCCCAACCGACAGCGGGCGACATTTTTCCGGTGCCGTTGTCGAACAAACTCCTAAATAACTTTGGCCTCAGCTGTGTTTAAAAACCGCACACCGCATCACTGGACCCCTGTGAACGGGCGGCATCGGTGTTGATCAGTGCTGCCGTCGGTAGAGCATTTTTACGCAGGGATACTGTGGATCAATTGCAGAACACAGGCCGAACAGGAGACAATGCGCTACCCTGGACCGGCCCGCACCGCGCGGTGGGCTCTGTTCCCCGTTCGAGCGATATTGCTCAACACGGGACGGTGGGACTGACGGATTTCTTGGAGTCTTCGCGTTCCATTAATACCTGTTATCAATGAAGCCATTGTGCCTAAGTACAAAGAAATCGCCGAAGGTCATAAAAGAAAAGGGAGATCGGCACATTACGTAGATTTTGAGTTAAACGGAAGAATTTCTCAATTTCTCCATAGAAATGGACAGCAACACGAGGTCATGGCTCGTGTTCCAGCCGGCGCTGTATCTTCCCAGAATACTTCCACCATTTTTCCGAAAATGCGAAAAAGGAATCTTAAAATGAATCCAAGTAAACGTGAAAGGACTTCACTGATAATCCACATTACGATATGATCCTTACATACAGCTGCTCAGGACGGCTTCAAAATCCATTAAAATCCATTTTTCTAGGAAAACCAGAAACGTCTCCATTTCCCGTCATGAGCCTGCACAGCTTATGAACCCTGCTTATCTCCTTTCCCCTATCATAACGCCGCCCACCGGACGGCCACCGCTCCTGCTGACACCGGCTATCGCGCTGAACGGGCGTAGGTTTTTGCGCTAATCTCATTAGCGGCAGTACAGAGTCGTGATGGCCGTATCTGCGACCAATTAGGCCCGGGCCGTGGTAGCGCTCTCACCGGGGACTGGCCGGGCCGGCGCGGCGGTTAGTGGCGGACACCACGTGGATGGGAAGAGAACGAAAGGCCACAACGGATTCCGGAAACTGAGCCGGTAGTCTTACAGGGAATCACATCGGGAAGTTACCAAATGTTTTAAATCAGCGATCATCGGCGGTTTTTGAATGATATGTGTCATTGAGAATACCTAGTCATCGTTTATCACTTATATGCGCATTGTTCCGATCCATGTCATCTGCTAGGTATTTAAATTAATGCCCACCTCATTTGCAAATATAATCAATAAAAATACATCCCCTCCCGATCAGTGTAGCGATGTGGGCGGCGGTGGACGTGCCGGGCGGTGCCATTTCCCGTTCCCACGGGCGAGCTCGGTGTCTCGTCACGCTCTGCCGCCCCGCCCACCGGGGGCATCTGGCTGTGACAGTGGCGGACTGTCACATTGCCATGGCTGTCACAGTGGCCGACTGTCATATCTCTGGCTGTCACAGTGGCCGACTGTCATATCTGGCTGTCACAGTGGCGGACTGTCATATCGCAGACTGTCACGATGACAGTCACAGGGCGGATCGAGCAGCGATGTCTCGACTGTGACTTTCCTTCCAACAGTGTTCGTGTCTCTGAACTCTGTCCGACTGCAATCCATGACCGTGTCCCTCTAGATTCCACTCATTGTTTCGTTCCCATCCGCTCCACCAATGTGCAGTGTGCAACTGCACATAGTCAGTTGATGTAGTAGGGTGACGCCCCGTTGTCAGCACTCAGCTATGCACCACAAAATGGGCGTTGACACATTCCCATCGGCAGTGAATGAAGACCGCGATCCCCGCATTGCTTCAGTGAATGGCTGAATGAAAGGTTCAGCTTTTAAAATTGAATATTATCAATAACAAGTTTGGAATGCAATTTTCAGACCCAAGAAGACAACATCTATTTCTAGTATCAATCACGGTAGTGATGGCCTTCCCAGCAGGAGCCCGCTCATGGAACCCAGCCCTGGGGACCTGCCACATGGGTCCAGCCGGGCTGCTCAGTGTTGAGGGACGGAAGCCACTCAAACGTCCGACGGCCCCACTAATCTGCTCATCTGCCGGCGGGTTCTCCTCAGGGCGCCATTCACAGGCTTCAGTCCTGCTCACCCTCGGCCGTGCGCCCTATCTCAATTTTCCGGGCCTCTTCCCGCTTGCTCTTCCCAGCTCTCGGACCTTTGTCGCCTTTCGCGGGGCTCTGCCAGCGCCCACGGCTCTGCTCTCAGCTCTTGCCCCCAGGCTACCGGAACCTCTGCCCTCGGTCTCGGGACCATTTGACTGTGCACGCGCCGCCGCCGGAACCGCGTGGTCCGGCGGTCCGGTGGCCTCGCCACCTCGCCATGGGAACGGGCGCTCTCGTCCACCGGAATGCCGCCGGGCGTTCCCACATGTAGCGACGGACCGGCGGCGCTGACGCCTGATGACGGTTGCGCCGGGGTGATGACACCGGTAACCGGGGCGTCATCACCTCGGCGTCACGTCAACGCGGCGGCGCCGCGGTCACGTGACACGTCACGGGTGGTATGGGACTGTGATGGGCTCTAACCCAGGGCAGGCGTGGGACGGTGGGTTCAAGCCAACGGCTACAGTGGGAACGGGCGGAAGGGAGCGTGACCGGCCGTTGGTAACAGCCCGTGCGTGAGGACAGAGGATACGCGTTCGTCGGCGGTTAGAAGACGACTGTTATTTATAAGTCGTCTTGATTCGGCCGCTAAGCCGTTCAAAATCGGCTGCACTTTGAAAAGGAGACATGAGGACCTACTATTTTGAAATCCGCCAGGATTTGCCGAAATGTGGAGTCCAAAATATCAGTATCGACCTCATGGAGTGGTCTACACTCTGCAACCGGTGATACCCAAGATTGCTGCTTCACACAAATGTCCGGTAGCGACAAGTCAAATGACATGTCTCTTCGTCAGCTGCATTATTTAAGAACATTGAGTTCTGACGCTGCAGGGACTGGTTATCAGCGTCCAGCGCTCAATTCCCAATAAACATGACCCAACAACCTTGAGATAAATATTCCGAAAAGATACTACCAATTCCTACGAACAGGTGGCCGAATTGACCTCCACTTGTGCTGCGCGGCCGTTGGTAAAACGTGGGAAACCGCCGCCGACCGCAGTACATTTCCCTGCAGAGATCAGCCAACCATGCAACAACTTCACTTCCAGCCCAACACCGCGTCACTCCCGCTGAGAATAACAAACCCGGCGACCCACACGTTTGTTCCACAGCACCACCGACACCCCGTGTAAGTCCAATCTGGCACGCGCGCGCCGTGGGAAACTGCCCCACCCAGGCGTCCCGAACTTCCGACTTACATCAGTTGCTTGTGAATGTGCTTCACGGCCAGCTCCAGCACCTCCGCCTTGTCCATGCGCGAGACGAGATCGTCGTCCCTGGGCGCGCGCGGTCCCGGGCCGCTCAGTTGACCCGAGATCAGGTCCCGGATCTCCTCAATGCAGAGGTTCATCCGGGCGCGCCGCTTTCGCTCCATCAGCGGCTTCATCAGCTGTGGAAGGAGAAACGGGACAAGTTAGAGATTGAGGCTCAGGGGAAGTCTGTTGATAGTGCTGGTGGAGCAGTGATAGTGTTCAATCAATGTGTCCGCGATATTAATAATCGAACGCAAGTAAAATCGAAATATTTCCATCGTAAGGGTATTATGGTGTAATAATGTGAACGCTTAAAATGTTAACACCGGCATGTGAAGCCCAGGAATCAACATTTTTGTTAGAAATCATGCTCGAAAACCGCAAACGATATTCAACGCAATATGCAACGACGCAGCAATTTGCTGCAAAACTGAACAGAAAAAGCAGCCCTGCCAAGGGAGTCCGCTGTAGTGGTGACAATTTTCATGCATATAGCTCAAAGTTTGCAAACTTCAAGGAGAAAATTCAGTTCCTTTATGTAATGTGCAGGTTGCGAGTGGGCCTGCCAGCGTGGTAAATTATAAAACATCCCAACGCAGACCACAGCCTGCGCACAGCAGCCGATGAGAAAACCACCTGGCGCAGTCTTCAGTCCACGAAAACGGCCATGCTACTAAAACCAACCTTGCACATTTTATGCTAACTGCAGATACCACGAAAAAGAAAAGTACTTTGAGCAGCAAAGAGACATGGTCCCGCGGTGACCACCGGGCTGTTCTCATGCTGTAGCCCAGCCTGACATCCTCCTCAGACCACCGAGCAATGGTGAGACTATGGATTAGGCATGCGGCCCTCGGCAATTAAAAATCAATCACCGTTAGTGCGCCATCACGTGGCACCTCGCTGCTGCAGACCCAGTCGTCCTGTTCTCCGTCTCCTGCGCACGCCAGAGCGGCGTGCAAAACAGCCAGCCGTGAAATAAGCAAACGCGCCCCGGCGGCGCCACACTGAGGGGTCAAGTGAGATAGCATGCCACCGGCCGAAAACAAACACTTGACGCGCCGACAGCGGCGAATGGCCGCCACTGCTCCGCCGGATGTGACCCCGACCCCGACCCCATCCCCCGGGGGATGGAAAGGGATCAAAGTGCGCCGCGCGCCGGGTCACCAATGTGGACCGGGGCGATGGGATGGAGTGGTTGCTGGAAGCGGCACAGCAAGGAAGTTTCTAAACTGCATGAGCTAACGGAAACGTGTAACAGCGACGGACCACCCACAAATGCCAACTCTATTCCAATCAGCACATAATGCCACGTGTGCCTTTCCAGCAACACGGTGCACGTTTCGCTGATATCCGTCCCGAGTTTGTCGCTACGCCCTGACAACTCACGATCGAATGCGTCATCAAATCATGCCGATCGCACCAAACACTGCTTTCGCTGATGGCTGTCGAACAGACGAACCCGGCGCACGCCAGGTACGGTTCATTTTGATTACCGCGTCTGCCTCCCGCCGAGGCGCCGACGCGTTTTTGATTACACCCGTACTTCTCCAGAAGCTATAATCATATCGCTTTTTGCGCCCAAGCGGTCGCGGCTGGGCTCCAATATAAACACGGACCCCATTAGCCGGTCGGGTCGCGCCCCTGTGGGAACGGCTCCGCCCCTCTCAGCGCGGGGACCTTGGGAGACCATTGGGGTTCAGGGCCAGAGCTGTGGGTGTCCAATGCGGGAATGTTTTTTAGGTATCCCGTGGCAAGCTAGTAGGTAGTTCGTGGCTTTTTCACAAATGTATGTAACATGGACTAACATGGTAACATGTAACATGGCCTGGCATGCTATACACTTATGTAAAACATCAAATTCAAACGTATAAATACATCAAATTCAAACATAAAATAATCACATTAAATTCACCCATGAACTTCATTGCAAACCATTGTTAAGCAGAGTTCAATGCGCTACTAACTGCGTTCTATCGGCCGGCTCACAGAAGTGACGCCGAAACTGATGGTTTCCGGCCACATCAGCCGTGACATGACACCATCTGAGTGATGTGGACCCACCGCAGCCGGCAGCCGGGCCACCGGAGGCGAACATACCGCGTGTATACAGACGGCCCGGATCGCAGGAGCGGTCACGCGTGAACACATAAATACCGAGAGAGTCGGCCGGACAGGACAGGACGGACAGACTGGACAGACAGACGGCCAGACGGACGGACACACAGACACAGGACAGACAGGACAGGACACAGGACAGACAGAACGAGACGGGATTGAAAACAAAGGGCCCAGCCAACGTCATAAGCGATGTGCTTTTCATGCGCTCCACGGGACCAGGTGCATCTAATGCATTTCTTACCTAGAGGACGATTCGGAGTTCCCTTGGATGTTATAGCAAGAGCGTAAATTATTTAGGAGCCATTGAGCACGATATGCTTGTGGATAATGTTTATGTGGCGCAGCTCATTAAGGACTACAAGCAATATGCTGCTCAAGTCACGGAGGGTGAGCTTTTCAAATGTCGCAAATAGTGCATCGAAAAATTATCGTCATGTTGGATTGTTCAATTTCGATAAAATATGCTAGCTACTTGTGAGCAGAACACGATCATATAAATTGTTTAGCCCCACTCTCAGACACGGTGTTTTTCTGCTGGTCTGTTGAGTGTTGCGTCTTTCATGGTGCGATGAAGTGCCGCCGGTGAACCATAAGAAGCAAGCGATGCGGCACAATCGGCCCAATCAGCGACAGGCGAGCTACAGGGTGAGGCCACCCCAGACTTTCGTCATCAGAGCTGATACGGGATCTCGATACGGCAATTAATTAATGGGCTCACCCGCATCTAACTCTGTCGTAAGCTTAGAGGGGACTGACAGCGCAATATCAATGCCGCATCTAAATAAAGTGACAATAAAACAAGTGTAATTTGTTATCAACAGTAGTAAACAAGTGTTCGTAGTTGGCACCGAAAGCCGTTTTTATGTTGGGAACCATGTATTCGAACACAGCTATGCATTGTTGCTAATTGTTGGATTGCCCGGCATGAAGCGCCCGTTAGAATAAATATAACTCATCTAAATTATTGTCTGTTCCACACATATAAGGACTAAGGAGTTAATCACTTAAAAGTCACAGCTCACAGGTCATAAAATTATCAGATTTCGCACTTACGGTAGGTATACAAAATTGCCTTGTTTGGCATTTCTTCTATCTCGAACGGTCGTCTAGGGCAAGCCGTTCGAATGGTCACGCTCGCGTTTGAAATCGAACACAGATGCAATAGGGGCATTCCATGTCAACCGGGACAGCCAAAATCGGCCACCTCTGCGATTTTGTTCAAACTTGGTATACTTATTGGCTATTGGGTGAAACCTCTGAGAGTGAAAGGATTTTGTCTTATGCCATCGAGCTACAGAGATACAAGTCGCTAAACTTCTGCTTTTTGAGCAGAATTGGACGTGTATTGCAATCTTGAAAGATCTATAGCTTCAACATTTTTGAAGTTATTAATTTCAAACAAACTGAAACGTGTACATAAGGAGTAATGCCAGTAAAATTTGACAATTTTTACATTTTTTGGTGATTTTGAATTTATTTTATTTTGAATTAATTTCTTAAAATGTAATTTGTGAAAAATGGGTACACTTCGATTTTGCTCAAATTTAGATATTGTCTTCCACTACACGTGGGGCACAGGTGCTGAGAAAATTAGAGTGGGCCAACGATGACTTTGGATGATATAGCAACAAGTAGTGCAACGTAGCACGGGCGGTGGAAGGGGCCGATTTCGCTAACCCCACCTGTTTATCGCCAATAACTCACGCCATAATTATTATATTAACGTTAAACTTTCAGTATCTGTCTAGAATCGAATTGCAAATCCTCCCGTGCAAGAAATAGGTAAATCGGTCGACAACTTTTCTAGTAATAGCGGTATAAAGTCAAACATTCCTGTCGGAGCGGCTCGGCGGCCGGCGCCGGCCGTTGCCGCCTGAATGGTAGACTGTGCCGGCGCGGGACGGTTCCATCTTTGCACCACGCTTCTCATAAGCGTAGGAACCATGGGTGCAAGGGTGCAGCTGCACCCACAATATTTATCCAGTGGGTGCAGACAATGTATTCTGCACCCACAATAATCTGAACCAAAAACCCCTTTTTCATCAACACTACTTCCCATGCAGCACGGCAAATTCAGGATATGTTGCCTACTATCCATCTTTCGAAGCATTTGCTACTGTGATCAGTGATGGTCTTCAAAACTTACATTTGTGCTGAAAAAAGGGAAATGGAGCATGTGATTGAACACATACCGAACCGATGACCCACTGTCAAACATTTTAGCCCGATATCTTCGAAAATGGCTAAGTTGGCCGCTTTTACTTTTTGCGGTAGTCAATATTGACAATATTAGCCCTCGAATGTGTGCAGCGTTTTCCAGCTTCTAATGTGTAGGTAGGGGGAGGGGGTCGGTCGGACCCCCTGCCGTTCGGCCCCTGATCGAGCTAGAGCTTCGCGGAAAAAACGAGGGTGTTGCCCGTGACGAGAGGAAGCCGATGATACCCAATTTTAAGGTCCTACTTCATTGGTTGACCTTCCAGGTCAGGTCAATATTCCAAAAGTCGGGAAAATCGGGACCTGCTAGCGCTGCGTAAAGTGAAGCTGTTATCGGGTTTTTCGGGGTGCTGATCACAAATATCTGATGTTAGTTTTGATCACAGATGATTTCTTCATGCATTTAGGCCAGATCGGGTCAGGTCAGGTCAGGTCAACCATTAGGCCTCTAGCCAGCCCGAATGCATTGCCCGTCAGGTCTGCCTCAGCCGGGACCATCATGGCCATGTCCGGCACACCAGACAGGACGATCTCCTGCACGTGCCACCCATCCGCTCGGAGGCGGGCCGGCGACGGTTTGTATACCGCTCGCCCCACCTCATGAACGATCTGCCCATGTCGGTGCGGAACCAGCGAGGTCCGCGGTTCAGGCGAGCCCTGAAGGCCCACCTACTCTCGAGACGAGACACGTAATGAACGCGTTTTTTATCATGATGCCGTGCAGGTGGTGTTTTTTTTTTTTATCCTGAGCTATATGTATATTTTAGGTTGTGTAACATCGTGAGTGTGTATTTTACCCTGC